CGGGCATACACCACACAATTTTGCCACAAATTCGCCATCTTGTAGTATGAGCAGTGTTACGATGCGATTGGGCATGGGGCATGTGAGACCAAAACAATGATTGGCGAAGAGGAAAGCAACAACAACCTGCACCATGTGGACCGAGGTGATGGAAGAAAGATTGGTGGACACCTTCTCAATGGGCGAGTTAGTTTTACATGGTCTGGTGCCCCGGATGAGCGGAGTTTACCCATTTTAGACAATTCCAAGGGTCCTTAAGTGAAATCTCCACTCACCCAGGGCACCAGGCCATGCAAAACGAACTCCACCAATATTACATTGCTTCCTACAATGACAGACACCAAAAATATAATGTCATATTCTGTGCCTCCGTCTCTTCTGTGATGTTTCTGCACATAATGTGCATATTATCTCAACACTAATAAAGCAGCTCACTGTTAGCATGTCGGCACATTTTCCCAATGACAATAGAAACGCAGGGCAGAATCAACTAGGGAATCATCGTGTAATGTGAGCACCCACGTCCTGGGGTTGAAGATGGACAGAATTAAAGAATTGGGACAAGGAAAATCGGTAAATGTGAGCACATCCAAGTTGTTAAGATTGTATTAGTCTTGTGGTGTATGCCCAGCATTAGCTACTTGCCACAAATAGCTAGTATTACAAACTTCCTTCTTATAAGGCCAAATGGAAGATGCTGAATCTCAAGTCTTAACATCGGCTATAAGCCCAGTGAGTCCCATTGCTGGACATTGATATTTTCAAACACAGTAACACTGTACTAGTGTCGGGAAACTAGCCAACTACCCTGACTGACACTTGACCAGTGTTTACAAAAAAGTATGCACAAAATTGTGAAGTGTAGCTAGCAAGTTAACCTAGCTATTACAGTAATTTACTGTTTACTAACTCACGCTCTCCCCCTGCCTTGGAAGGACAATAACATAGTTCACGAGCTTACATTAGCTATCTACTGCAAAGTTTACATGTGTTAGTAGACTGCTAGTTATTATGGGGCCTCGTTCAAGCTGTACTTAGCTGTTTATCTAACTTGCTATTTCGCTAGCCAACTTGACCAAGGCAGTGTAACTAGCTAGCTCGTCCATGGCATTGTCGCTAGCTAGCCGAACCAGGTTTGGTTAAAATGTCTCCACGCGGAGTACAGTGGGTCACGAGAGGCTAATGTTAGCTAGAATCGGAGTTGGATACCCATAACGTTAGTTACTACGCTAGCCGAGAAACAAACATCCTTTAGTTGAAGGATAACTGTCAACAGTTAACGCTATTCGTTACATTTGTATCTATTTGTAACAACTGAAAACTGTCACTGCATGGGTAGCCAGCTAACAAAATGACCACGTAACATTAGTAAGTTAACTGTTTACTGCTAGCTTTCTGGTTAGCATCTTTGCTAACGACTAACGTGGCGTCTCGATGCTGCAATGTGGTTAGCTAGCTACCCCCCAACCCACACAATATCCGTCAGATGTTTATTCGTTATAAAAACAGATCGATAGGCTAGTCATTCTTAAATACTTAAATATCTTTACTGACACTCACCTTATGTTCAATCATCCGAAAACGACGATAAGTATACTCTGGCTACAGTTCCTTCATTTTGTTACATTATTTCCCCCATGCTGCATTATGAGAGGGTGTGGTCAAGGATGACTGACAGATTTGTGAAGCCAATGAAAATGCAAGTTAGCAATAGACGATCCATTCACGCATACATATATATACACAGCCAATCAGTGGAACATATTCACTTGATTTTTGTCTTGTGTACTGCTGCCAGGAAGGGAGTCGATAAAATCAAAGATTTTTATAAATAACCCAAGATAGACCACAGCCTGTCGTTTCCAATGGGAGCAAATTAATCATAGTGGGCAGAAAAACCAAGGTGGGCAGAGCCGAGCACGAGCTAGCGAGATCCTATTGGCTCGTTATTGCATGTACATGTGAAGTGCGCGTGTGCAATAACTTTTTTTTTTACTTTGGCGAAGTGTAAATTCTCCAAACTTAGTCCACTTCGTAACAAATTATAGTTTTGGGAACAGAAAACTGTATTGAGATCAAATGTTTAATTGATGAGAAAATTTGCAGAATGTCCATCTCGCTCTACCTTGTCCCACTGCCGGCCACTGTGCTTCCTCTCATCACCATATTTGGTGGTGAGTGGAAACGACAAACGGATGCTTTCTTGTTTTTACTTTTGCCATAAATGTCACTTATTGTGCACGTTCAATATCAAAGATGAGATGCCTTCAATTAAAGATGTGCACTTTTGAATCTAACATAAACAATAATGGACCCCAACCATTTTCAATGGCCCCTACAATAAAGTTAATTCCATCTCGTGATTTTGACCGCTTTCTTCATGCGGAATGTACTAATAATTGTACATTTCCAGTGTATTCCAGAGGAGGGCACTCTGTAATCAAATACAGACAACATGGGCAGGCCCATATATCTGTCAGCAGGAGGAGCCATTGTGCCACCACAAAAATTCAGCATGAATAAGGACTCATATGGGCATAATAATAATAATAATAATAATAATGGGTGAAATATTGTGTCATATAACTTCTGCTTCACAATTGCTGAATAAGGAAATAAACACATCAGATGTATTTCTAAACTTTTATTTGTATCATCTGTCCATTGTCTGAAGATACCATACAGTTTGAATGATACAAGGAGTCATATGCATGCAAAAAAAAACGTTGCTTCTTTACACCAACAGTCTCATGTGGATCCAGCACGAGACGTCCATTCTCATTCTACTTTTCTGTTAGTATTACATAAAGAGACACTTACTAATACAGAATTGATACCATGTACATTACAGGAGAATTTAATATTTTTAACGTGGTATACAAGTTTGGAGTTATATGACACTGTATCCCTGTCCTGTAGGCAACTTAATGATCACAGTTATTTAAGGAGTACAACATTTTGCTCAGTTTTTACTGAAGTAACACTACAGTAATTGTAGATGAACCTCTTGTAGAGGATGGGTCATGATGAAGCAGAATACAGGTAACTAACAACTTCATGTTTAGCTATCTGTCCATCAGTTACAGTGCTAAAGGACAAAATATATTCCTTATGCTGAAGTAAAATGAATACGAATGTTTCAGATTTTCATATAAATTAAAATAAATTGCATGTAGTCTAAGGCAAAACATCTCAGCCAGATTTGTGTCACCTATGGATATTTTTCTGTATGCACTTGTACATTTGTAGGCTGATCATCAACAAGCTACTCTGACCGAATGGGTTTCGAACCCAGGTGTCCGGTGAGCCGCAAGACTATGTTAGCCCACTAAGCTAAAACCTTGGCATTAGCTTGGGGAGCTAATACAAGTCTTCAGTGGAGATTATGGTGTGCTACAGTATGGGACTGAGCGGTTTTGTGAAGGAACTGTATGTGTACTGTAAAGTGAGCAGAAAACTGTGCCAAACATATTCCTTTTAACCCAATCACAATTCGAGAATATTCACACACAAAAAACTTTTTTTCTTTTCCACAAAGAACACATGCAATTTGCAAAAAGGTATAACGAATCTCCCAATTTCTCAAATGAAATATGTTCTTACACAGAGGCATTACACCAAGAGACATACAAAACAACCAAAGCAAAATATTATAATTATACCAGAACTAAACAAATATAAAAAAAAGTACATAACAAAAAATGGAAGATTCAATCCCCTTGTTTTCAGACTGTACTGTATGGCATGTGCAGTGTAGTTATATAAACATAGCACTGTGAGAAACCAAAGCTGCCAGCTTTACCATCTCCATTGCAGAGAAAACAACAAAGGGTTTTGTCCATAGTAAGACGTCAGATAAGCCAGTAGATATTATAATACGAATGATGAAGCAGTAATAGTTATACGACACAGTGACTTCAGCCAGTGGCACTTTTTTTTTTAGACCACTCCTGTCTAGTACATTAAAATAAACAGAATATTTATCCACCGTAGAATATACACCAATAATAATATTATCAGACTTATAAAGCAAGGAAGAAAGAATCTGAGCAGTGGAGGCTGGTGGGAGGAGCTATAGGAGGATGGGCTCATTGTAATGGCTGGAATGGAATAAATGGAACGGTATCAAACACATGGAAACCATATGTTTGACTTGTTCCATTCATTCCATTCCAGCCATTATAATGAGTCCATCCTCCTATAGCTCCTCTTAATATCCTCCACTAAATCTGAGTTATGTTTAATTTGGTCAATGACATTACAAAGCTGAAGCCCTGGTTTAGAACTCAAACTATTCAGGGCCATGTTCAGTAGGCAAACGTTGAATGTTGTAGGCAAAGGTTGAATGTTGCAGATAGAAATGCCATGAATAGGGCTTACATGATTCCTTCCTTCATGTCAGAGAAACATGTTTGTTTTAATGTGTATAACATACTATCTGAACGTTCTACAACATTGGGCCCTGCTGAATGCGCACCAGGCTTTATGATGCTTCAGGATGGTATTTTTCAGGAATACTGTACTATTTAGAAAACACAACCACATCGGCCAACAACACTTTGATATCAACTTTTTTGAGTTTCAATAACACCTTTGGTTCCAGTTTAAAAGCGAGCGACAAATGAACGGCACAAGATCAATTAATACTTGAAGCGCTATATTTGTTTTGTAGTTTATTTTTATTGCACTTGTACAAGAAGTGACCAGTAAGCGCTTTTAAAAAAAAGGGGGGGGGGGGGGGGGGTCAGAACGTGCTTTTTTCTCAAGATTGTTGCTCTCTTACAAACTGACTATTTCCTGCAACCTGTCACCTGACCTCTCTACGTGACATCACAACTTGACCAGTCAATATGGGTCTTGTAGTTCATTGATATGAACTACTTTATTGATTCATTTAATCATAATTATTTGGATTTGTAGCTTTGTGTAGTTTTTTTTCTTCCATTTATTAATTGCAGGCATCTTTAGTCACTGAGCAGTGAGTGGATGGCCTGTAGATTTTAGGGGTCTTCAATATCCAGGAACTCCTTCTTGGGTGGTGCTATCCCCCTGTACCAGGCACAGGACCCATCGCTCCTATTGATACAGGCAAAGTGTTGGGCCTGGGGACCGCTGTGGCTCTTTTCCATCACCCAATCCGTCCACAGGCACTCCTCTGGGGCGCTGATCGTACAGGGGATGGAAGTGCAGCGGATGATCTGTAGATCAGAGCAGAGAGAGAGAAAGACCAAGATCACTGACTGATCATTATCCCAATACTCTAGCTCATGTGTTTTACCAATGTGACCAGAGTACTCCCTTTAAGAGAATGTGCTGTGTAAATATTGAACAAAACTGGTGTACTGTAATATTACTATAATTCCCATCAAACAACACACACACACACCTTGCACTTGCAGCCACTCTCATAGCGTTGAGTCAAGCTCTTCTTTTGTGTGGCACTCATGGCCTCCCAAGACTCAATAAAGTCACACAGTGTTACGTGCATCGTTCCATCAGTCTCCAGCTTGCCTGCAGACAGAGAGGAGATAGTGAGTCATTGTCCCATAGAGAAAACATACTGATGCAGACAGGAACACTGGAACTCCTCATCAAGTGGGTAACACTTTAAAATAACTTTCATGAATAAGCATTAATAAACTATTTATAACTAGTGTACATAAATACCTAAAATAAATTAGTATTTCAATATTTGTAAACATTTATAAGCATTATAAAATGGTTAATTCATAAGCATTTATAAAATGTATCATGAATAATATAGAAATCTGCAGTTCAAACAATAATAAAGCAGATACCCCGCCACTGTTTTGGTAAACAGCTGAGGGATGGGGCTGGAGAAACGTAACCACTCTCAAATTCATAGACAGAGCTATGGAGGCAAACACTGACCATCCATCAGATTAAAATGAAAACAAGCTTGTATTTTGGGTTCTGATGGGGTACAACAGTTGAGCTAAGGACATTACTAATTTACAAGCTACATTCTTCAAGAATCAATGGGTATACATAATTAATTTAAAAACACCAAAATGGATTACAAACAGTTATTATGAATTGAAACCTGAAGCTGTACCAAAAATGTATTGTTCTGAAGCACTTGTTTCTTCATACAGCATGCAGTCAATGGGATGGTCATAATGTTGTAAGCATTTCTAGGTTGAGCAGTTGAACCAGTGCTGGCAATAGAACTTGGTAACGTAGTGATAACCGCACCTGTGAAGAGATACTCCTTCTTGCCATTGGTTTCCAGAGTAACGCCACAAACGGCTGAGGAGGGTGCAGTGAAGATGGCGTCGATATCCCGGTCAGGACCTTTGAACATCTAACCAATCACAAGGAGAGAAAGAGAAGGCTCTATCAAACATGTCCATATACAGTTTTGAACCTCACTGACTGCAGCAACCACTTAATAAAAAGGCTGACCATACCTTGATCTGTTTGATGTCGTACTTGATCCTCTTGATGGTGTTGCCATAGACGTCATTACCAGCCTCAACCACTTTCTTTCCAACCACCTTGGCCCTGATCACTAGAAGAGCGAAAGAGAGGGAGACATGGTTTAACTCTACTGGTCAGACAGACACTGACGGTTTAAGGGTGTTATGGGATCTAAGAATGTTAAAAACACTCTATAACCTAGTTGAATCAGACCACGGTTTAAGGTCTGTTTAGATCATAATGATCAGGTTCCAACCAGCAATGATCTTGTATTTATTCTGGAGGTTGGCGCCAAAACCATACGACTCCTGTTTTACCTCCTGGTCCCAATCCTAGCTCTGTCGCCGCCCCCTTAATTCAACAGGCCTGGTTTAACTATGCTGCCCTGCCTTTAATTCAACACGCCTGGTTTAACTATGCTGCCCTGCCTTTAATTCAACACGCCTGGTTTAACTATGCTGCCCTGCCTTTAATTCAACACGCCTTGTTTAACTATGCTGCCCTGCCTTTAATTCAACACACCTGGTTTAACTATTCTGCCCTGCCTTTAATTCAACACGCCTGGTTTAACTATGCTGCCCTGCCTTTAATTCAACACGCCTGGTTTAACTATGCTGCCCTGCCTTTAATTCAACACGCCTGGTTTAACTATGCTGCCCTGCCTTTAATTCAACAGGTCTGGTTTAACTATGCTGCCCTGCCTGCCTATTTCAGGTGCCAACCGGGTGTTGGTAGGAAGACTGAGGCACATGAGCGTTTCATCAGCTGTAATCTGAGAGAGGAATGTGCCTGGCCTGCACTGAGGAAGTTAGTCAGCAATCTTTTGGAAAATTGAACCAGAATGCATGCATGCACACAGGCAATCAGTCGCACACACACACAGGCACACACTAGACGTTATCACACACACCTCCTGAGCCCTCCAACCATCAGTCTGGGTAGAAGGTGCTGACAGCAACACAAACCAACCTCTCACTTTTCTTCTTTCTTCTCATTTCAGTCTGATTCAGAAGATTGAAGGATTGTTGTTGGACAAGGAAGGAAGAAATAGGCAAAAAAGTAGGAGTGGAAAAATATGGTCCTTGCCAAACAGATGAACTTCTCCTGTAATGATGTTAAGTTCACTCTATTCCACAGCTGTCTATCATCAGGACCAGTACACCACATAGTAATACTTGTTGCTTTTATCACTGGAATTATAGTTTTTGTTTTGCAGACATCCTGATCTAATGAAACTACAGTAGACTGGTTTTTTACTACCAGCTGTACCAGCTACTTAAAGGGGACAGTACACTCCAATCTAAATTTGTCAGATGTTTTCAGACTCAAGATGGCTCCACATCCCCCACCTTTGTCAGATGTTTTCAGACCTCAAGATGGCTCCACATCCCCCACCATCAGTTGTGCAGATCCAACTACACCTCAACCCCAAATGAATAGAAAAGATTGGCACCGCAAATATGGAAATTACATGGTGCTCATCTTCTCCATTCATTTGGGATTGTGGCATGTAGCTGGATCTACACAATAGATAGCCTGGGAGGTGGACTTTCCTCAACACAAGATCACTTTTGAGATAAAATCAGACAACATTTGACTTTAGAGTGTAATGTCACTTTAATATGAAAATCTCTTCTATTGGTTTTTAAAACCATATTTGTACCACTGCCTAGAAACAAACAAAGGGCAACGCTGCTATGAATGAAAGACGAGGTTCACCTCAGTGCAGTCCAGCCCTAGCTGCCTTCAGCTGGGAATCAGACTAGAGACTAATGTCAAACAGATGTTTACTTTGAGTTCAGTCGTCCAATTTCCCAAGGTGGCGACCGCAGGTACGGGTAAGGCCAGTCTTTTAGGGAATTTATACTTTGTCTAAAAGTATGAAGCATGTGCCTTAATTGGATTACAGTACGGACTGAGAATAACATTTCCTTTTAAGGTTTTACAGAGTCAAACTGTTGACAGAGAGGGAGGGGCAAAAGAGGAGAGAGAAAGGGAGAGTGAGAGAATACTAGGAGATAGGGATGGTGAGAGTGATGGAGGAATGTAGAATATCTGCAGGCAGGGAAACAGAGTTAAGGAGTGGCAGGAATAGCAATCATACTGCAGTTGTGGAATCATCCTCATCACCATTTCATGTGTTTAGAAGGAGACAGGCCAGCAATACCAATACCATATGCTAGCACAGACATTCAGAGAGAGAGAAGAGAGAGACAGGGGGGGAGAGAGACAGGGGGAGAGAGTGAGATTTTCCCTTTTGTACTTTAACTATTTGCACATCATTACATCATTACAACACTGTATTAAGACATAATATGACACTTGAAATGTCTTTATTCTTTTGGAACTTTTGTGAGTGTAATGTTTACTGTTATTTGTTGTTGTTGTTTATTTCACTTTTGTTTTTGATCTATTTCACTTGCTCTGGCAATGTAAACATATGTTTCCCATGCCAATAAAGCCCCTGAAATTGAAATTGAAATGAGAGACAGACAGAGCGAGAGAGAGCGCGAGAGAGAAGTCAACAGGACCGACAGAGAGGGAAAAGAGTCAACTAAGATCAAGTTCATAGCCAGGAAAAAGCACTCAACTCTATCCAGGCTGCATGGTTTGCTGTGTGCATCAGAACAGCTCTGAGAGGGCAGCCCTTGCAGTCATACAGACTCTAACCACTGGGCACACACTGCTTGAATCAACATGGTTTCCACGTCATTTCAATGAAATTACATTGAACCAACGTGGAATAGAGATTGAATTGACGTCTGGGCTCAGTGGGTAATGTCTACACACAGTCTCACTATAGTCTACACACAGTCTCACTATAGTCTACACACAGTCTCACTATAGTCTACACACAGTCTACACACAGTCTCACTATAGTCTACACACAGTCTACACACAGTCTCACTATAGTCTACACACAGTCTACACACAGTCTCACTATAGTCTACACACAGTCTCACTATAGTCTACACACAGTCTCACTATAGTCTACACACATTCTCACTATAGTCTACACACAGTCTCACTATAGTCTACACACAGTCTCACTATAGTCTACACACAGTCTCACTATAGTCTACACACAGTCTACACACAGTCTCACTATAGTCTACACACAGTCTCACTATAGCCTACACACAGTCTCACTATAGTCTACACACAGTCTCACTATAGTCTACACACATTCTCACTATAGTCTACACACAGTCTCACTATAGTCTACACACATTCTCACTATAGTCTACACACAGTCTCACTATAGTCTACACACAGTCTCACTATAGTCTACACACAGTCTCACTATAGTCTACACACAGTCTCACTATAGTCTACACACAGTCTCACTATAGTCTACACACATTCTCACTATAGTCTACACACAGTCTCACTATAGTCTACACACAGTCTACACACAGTCTCACTATAGTCTACACACAGTCTCACTATAGTCTACACACAGTCTCACTATAGTCTACACACAGTCTCACTATAGTCTACACACAGTCTCACTATAGTCTACACACAGTCTCACTATAGTCTACACACAGTCTCACTATAGTCTACACACAGTCTACACACAGTCTCACTATAGTCTACACACAGTCTCACTATAGTCTACACACAGTCTCACTATAGTCTACACACAGTCTCATACTATAGTCTCTACACACAGTCTCACTATAGTCTACACACAGTCTCACTATAGTCTACACACAGTCTCACTATAGTCTACACACAGTCTACACACAGTCTCACTATAGTCTACACACAGTCTCACTATAGTCTACACACAGTCTCACTATAGTCTACACACAGTCTCACTATAGTCTACACACAGTCTCACTATAGTCTACACACAGTCTCACTATAGTCTACACACAGTCTCAGACGGAAGCACAGAGCACCTTTCCTCTGAGGCCACACACACACACGACACACCAAACATGCCAAGGGGACCCCACATTACTGCATTGAGTGCTCCTTGTAGAATGATCAACTCACACATACACACTCCCTCTTTCCCTCTCTTTTCCACACTGCCATTCTGAAACACACAGTTGCTAGTGTTACAGCCCCATGGCCAACCAGTGAAGGGAAACCCTCCTGCTCCTCCAGTTACACAGGGATCGGTGGTAATCCCCTTGCCCTGAGTGTGCAGAAAGAATCCTCGCTGGCTGGGCAGGAATCAGACACCAACCACTTCTCCTTCCCTCCTATGGTAAAGTAGGTCAGGTGAAATGTTCCAAAGGCACAGAGCAAGGATATATTGACTGACTGGACTGTGGACTGACACAGTTGTGCTGCGTCACATGGTGGACAATGCTGTCGGTCTGAAATGAACTGTGGAACTAGTCTGCTCTTGGAAATGAGAGCTGGGTTCTGTGTACATGGCTAATACAGTACTGCCTTCATGTTATATCATTTTGTCAATTTGGTATTTCCTTTTGAAAATACACTAACATGATTGGAATGTGACATGGAGTCTCCATCTCCACAGAACCAGAGCAGACCATAGTCCTACCATTTCCAAATTCCAAATCCTAACACCATCCGATTTTCCAATCACCAAACCCACAAAGAATTAACTGAGAAACTCCAGAAACAAACTTCTACATTTAATCTTCCTCAGCTTTAAATCCAAAGGGTTGAACCTCTAGCTGACACATGTAGGTCTAACAGGGGGGATAAAAACACACCTCCCTCCTGGTTCCCAGTAACCATCCATCAGATTCATCACACTATGGAGCTGCTGGAACAGTGGAGCTGCGATTGGAAGTCTTACAGGGGTTTTATGTGTCCCTTGGGGCCAGTTGAGGCTGTGTAATTGGATGGGAGATGTGATGCATGTTACACAGTCTGCTCTCATTGGCCCTGTGCCATAACAACAGTGCACACACGGCAGTCAACAAACACCACGCTCTGCCTGGCCCCCAAGGTGAGCCGAAATGTACCATTTTTCAAACTACTGGGGGGGGAGCACTCAATTATTATAACTCATTGATAAAAATTGTGAGACAGTCATTCAAAAAAATGAACACAAAGGGAGCACTCAATTATTGTTCTGGAAAAATCTGTCATTTCTTTTAAGATTCCAGTTACCCATTCAGTGTTACATTGTAAAACA